GCTGTTCACCTTTCAGCAGTTTTGTTCCCAAACCTCTCGTGAAGTTGTGCCGTCGTCTGAATCCGCATTGCCGCGTTCAATGCTCTTTTTTTCAAGTTTCCTTCATGTTCTTCGCGCTTTATGTTCCCCTTTCCGTTCCTCATCCGCTTTTTTTCGCGTGCCCGACGTGCGTGTGTGACCCGCTTGTGGGCCCGCACTCTGAATCCGCAGCGCACCCGCGTCTCGACTTCGCCCCCACCCCCCCCGCCCGCTTGAGCGTCCTTGCGTTTTCCTGCGTGTGGGTTTGGACATGCTCATGTTTTTGCGTGTTGTAGTATTTCGGGAGGTTTTCAATGTCTGTGCTTTCGGTCGGTAAACAGGTTTCGTGGTTGTTGGAAGCTAGATTTAATTACTGGCTCGCTTTTCCAGCCTCACATTGCAATTTGTGTTGTAGTTTCGTGTGTTGTAGTATACAGTTGCTTACGGCTCGCGCGAAACATTGATTTACACACATCTTCGAGTTGGGTGATATTTTCGCGGGAGTGTGCCGCTTGTCTTCGTTTTCTTGCAGTGATTGTGCACACTGAGAATGTAAGTTTTTTGGTGTTTTCTCGATACCTAAGACTAGTCACATCTCATGCTGTGTGGGAAGATGTCAGAAATCAAACGATTTGAAACAGCTTCCTAGCAACGTCAGTCTTGATCGATCATTCGGGCCAGAGAGTCTCACGGTGCTCGCAAAGATCGGGCGCTTCTCGCGTTGTCCCCCCGTTCCTCTTGCTATTGCTCTTCCGCCTCCTCGCCCCCTCTTCCCCCTCCTGTTTCCGGGACAACGACAGGAGAAAGAGGGGGAATAAGGGGAGCTCCCTATGGGGCTACGAAGCGTGTGATGGGTGTGCCGAAATGGGTGTGGTGGCCGCATGTGGACACTTCCACTGGGGGCCCTTGTTGGAGCTTCTTATTGGGCCGCGAAGCGCGTGAGGGGTGTGCCGAAGCAGCGACATGCGGAGGGCACAGGCAAGGACGGGAGGGACGAGGGCGGAGGGAGCGGGAGGAGGTGTGAGACCCGGGGAGCTGTCTCCTCAAAGCGAGGACCCAGCACCACAAGATGGTTGGGAACAACTTCTTTCTCCTCCTCCTCCTCCTCCTCCTCCTCGGCCTCCCACCCGAGAGGCGCGGCGACACATACGGCGGACGCCGGCGGACGAGGCGCTGGCGGCGGACAGCTGCGGCAGGCAGGCCGTGCACCGCGAGCGGCCCGAGGCCACCCGCCCCCGACGGCCCGACGGCCTCCTCGCTTCCCGCGCGCTTGTCAGTGCAATCCAGAGGCCTTTTTTTTGCTGCGCGTAAGAGTGGCTCTTCGCAGGAGGGACCAGTCGGTGCGGGCCCACACGGGGCCTCCCCAGCAGCAGTTTGCGCGCTTGGATGGGGCCTCCCCGTGGCTCCCCGAAGCTGCGCACTCCTGCCCAGGGTCACTCTTGCGTGTAGCCAGGGGTGACGGGAGTGACAGGGGGGGGGTGAGGGGGAAGGGCGCCGGCCACGTCACGATTCGCGCTGGCGCTGTCTAGGAATGCCAAGGGAGGGCTCATTCCCAGACGGCGCTGGCGCAAATCGTGGCGTGACGAGGGCGGGGCTGGTCAGGGGCGCCATCGCGAATCATAAACAACGGGGTATTATTTTTGATCCTCTGGCGCGCGCGGGCGCGTGAGAATCGTTACTGGACCCACCCCATCCGCCAGATAACGGTAGCGATCTTTCGTTGGGGGGTTTTGCCCCCCCCCCCCCCCCCCCTCACATGCTGGTGCTCGCGCGCGCATTGCAGCGCACCCCCCCGCCCCGACGTGCCCCACTCCGCCCTCGCGTTACCGTTGCCCAGGGCCCCACCCCCACACCCTTCCCCCTGGTAACGACCGTCATCCATGGCCGAATGCCAGCAGCAGCTCATGTTTGGAGCTGGCTGGGGGGCTGAGGTGGCCCAGCACTGGTGCCAGCCAGCAGAAGAAGAGGAGGAGGAGAAGGAGGAGGTGGAGGAGGAGGAGGAGGAGGAGGAGGAGGAGGAGGAGGAAGAAGTGAGTGGAGGAGGAGGAGGAGGAGGAGGAGGAGGAGGAGGAGGAGGAGGAGGAGGGGAGGAGGAGGAGGAGGAGGAGGCGGAGGAGGAGGAGGAGGAGGAGGAGGAGGAGAGGAGGAGGAGGAGGAGGAGGAGGAGGAGGAGGAGGAGGAGGAGGAGGAGGAGAGAAGGGGGCCCCCTCTTCGCCACGGCCGGACGCAGCTCGAAAACACTGGTCAGTTTCGACCTCGGGAGGGGCCTGGGGTCTGGGGGCCGATGTTGAGTGGATTCGCCCTCGTCCCCCCCGTCTTGATCGGTTTTCTTTGGGCTCATGCAGCTCAGGCCCCCCTGGCCGCCTTCCAGTTCTTGTCCATTTTGAATTGGTTTCATTGTCGGTGTCGCCGCGGACGAGGCGCCTGCCACCCAGCGGCCGCTGGCGGGTTTGGGCCACATTTGTTGGTGGGCATCGTGCCGACTTTAGTTCCGTACCCATGTCGGGTGTCCAAAGCTTGGGAGCGTTAGGTGGTGGGTTCCCCTCAGCCCAGCTGGTCGTTCCCTGAGATGCGGGCGTTGCATTTTTGCCACACCAGGTGCAACCATACGTAGGCTCACGCAAGCGCTCACTGCTACTCATTTGTCCAGGCGCTCGAGCAATCGCCCCGCTTCCCGCTCGAGAGAGCCCCGAGGAGCGGGGCCGACCACTCTCTCCTCCCCGACTTCCGTCAAGGACGCGATCAGCAGCTCCTTCACCTCCATGGCGCTCGGGGTGCCCCTGTCGATGTGGACCTGCAGGCGCACCTTTCCTCCATTTCTTTGCCACTGCCCCCTTGGGTTTCCGGACGCAGAAGTACGGCAACATCTTTGCAACCTTCTCGTGGCCGGACCCTCGAAAATCTCGTTCCAGACCTTTGGGCCACTTCTTTGCACGAATCCCCGATATTCTTGAGCATGTTCAGAAAGATCCTCATGAGCACCACCAGGAAAGGCGGGCCGAGCTGAGCCATGTCGACGTTCGGATCCGACTGCTTCTGCTCGCGCAGCGCCTCCACCTGCTCGTGGTAGTGCTTCCCCGCCGCCATTGCCGCCTGCGCTATCCAGAGCTCTGCTCCAGAAGAATATAAGGTGCGAAAAGTCGTTGCTGTGAGGTCGGCCAGCTCCCCCGCGTTCATGAGCACCAGCCGCGCGAGGACGAGCACGAGCGTCCAGAGGGTGTCCTTGTTGCCCTTCTGGCTCCCTTTGGCCAGCTTGCCCGTCTCGGAAGGGAGAGCCTTGCCCGACCCTTGGCCCGCGTCGGAGGCCTTCCGCTTGGTGCGCATGGGGTCGACCACTCGGGGAGGTCCACGACTTCTCCCGCCAGGTCCACTAGCATCGATATGAGACTGTCCAGGGCCGAGCTGTGGAAGCCGCGGTGTGAATGCAAGGGATGCGTGCGCATATGTTCAGTGAAAGATGGAAGGTCTCCATACTCCTGAGCCGCAAACTTGACAGCTCATGGACGCTGCAGTCTGCAAGCTATTCAAAGAAGAGGCTTTGTCCACCAGACACCGATGACGCAGGAGAGCCCCCGAAAGATGATGAATCGCCGCCAATATCCTGGAACATATTTGGCGGCAGCCCTTACATGGATTCGTTACTGTCACCGCTGCCGAGCGTAAAAGATTACGAAGACTCCGTCTATCAGCGAAAGCTGCGTCAAATGCTCCCTGAGAATCGCACCAGCTACAAGCATGAGCTATTTCTGTCAGGAGGGCGTTCGACTCGGCCCTCATACTTCCTCTCGGAAATCCCACGGTGGAACCTCCACCGTAGTCGCAGCCCGACGCAGGACGCCCGCATCGATTTTCGAGAAGGCCTGGGCTGTCTCACCCTCGGAGAAAGCGGCGATCGAGTCGTTGACCGGCCCCCACAGGGCCGCCGCCTCCTCCGAGCACTGGGCCGACTCCGCGACATCTTCCTGGACCCTCGGAGCCCACGGGCTGGCCTCTGGCACCACCCGCGTCGCTCCGGCGTGGACGTTATCCTGGCAGGAGGTGGCTACCCTGGAAGGTTCAGCACAACGGATCTCAGAAGCTGCGAGCTGCGTGCTGGAGCGCCCGCGGCCTGGCATTCTGGAGACACGGCCGCCGCCGCGCGGACCTCCGCAGAGTGAAGGAGCTCAAAGTGTAGGTGACTGTCATTCTTCTCCGGGGGGGTCTGTGGGAACGAGCGACGAGGCCTCGTGGCGCCCGCGCCCTCTCGGCGCGGCGCAGGCTTCGGCGCACACCCAACGCTATGGTTGCAGACGCAACCCAGCTACGGGTGAGCGGGGTGCTCAGCGAATTTGTGTGTATGGAACGACCATCCATCGGCTCAACATTCACAGCGAGATTTGTTATTCGGGCTTGGGGAGACGGAGGAAGGGCGGCGTGGCGATGCTCACCCCTTGACACGATCCCCAGTCACTTGATGGGCGAAGCTGCTGTGCCAACTTATCACACTATCTTGATCCAAAGGGTATGCATAACCTAGCTGTGCGAAGCCCTATCTCGGGGAAAGAAGTTCGTTTTTGTTCACATTCGCACTTGCGACATTCCACGCGACTCGCGTGCTCATATCCGACATCGTTGGACCCATAATCTTACGTCGGCTCAAAATGACTCTCCAGGCTAGAACTATGGTTTGGAAGCTTCTGTCAGTGACGGTACCAACCAGTCCTTGCTCTTCCCCCAAAGGCGGCAAGCCCGACTCTCTCAAGGTCGGGCCTCTCAGAGTGCACCATTTCGGAGAGACGACCTCCTGCAGCGTGGCAGTTCTGGAACTCGGGGGCCCGCTTCCTACGCATTGCTGAAGAGCGACCGACACGTTCTCTACCATCGACAGATTCTTCATCCCAGCAAGCACTCACTACGTCATTGACTGCGAATCCGCGGTCGACGTGATTCAGGAGGTCCCAGGATTCTCCGACTGGGCATTGTCTGACCCCGCTATTCTTCGCATGTTGTTGGCTCCGCGGCGCCCGATGGTTCCTGACCAGCGAGTGGTGTCAAGTTTCATCTTCAAGTGCCTGCGCTTCAAGGGTATCTTGCCTTGCTGTGTCAAGGCTGCCAAGCTCGACGAGCGCGGTGCGAACGCCAAATGGGGAAGGATCAAGGAGCTCATTACCTTGGCGGCTAGGCTTGCTCCTGACAAGCTCCTGAACGGCCTGGTAGCTCCTCCCTTGACCGGCGCTGCTGAGTTGAGGCGCATGACTCTTCGTGCTATTGCATGGGCTGCTTGGTGTCAAGATGAACGATTGGAACAAGTGGCTTCAATCTGCATCGGACATTGCGTTCCGCTTTCTGGGCGTCGCGTCGCGCGCGGCAGTCCACGCCATTCGGCCCGTCGAGTTCCGCGAGCTTACCGCCAGCGACTACCAGCAGAGCTTCGGGGAGGCAGCCCAGGAGTCGGCTCGGAGGGCGGCCAGCCGCGAAAGCGCCTCTCAAGGCGACGACTCTCCTGCAGGTACCCCTGAACACATCAAGGCGCAGGAAACATCCATGAGGCAAGCTTTGGCATGGAACCCATCGCGGCGGCGACTCGTGCTCCGCGGCCTCAAGCGCACCCGTGTGGGCCAAGAGGATGCGCCGCAGGGGCCCGCGGCCATGGCGACCAGGATCAAGGATCATTGGAAGCCCATCTTCTGGGAGACGTCCTGCTCGGACCAGGCCACTCTTGAATACTTCGGGTCCCGCCTCCCTGTCTTCTCCTCCTCAGACCTTGCCCTCTCGACCCCTGACGATCCCGCGAGAGCTTTGAA